TAAATGTAGAACTTTAATGATGAAATTGACAGTAATTATCTATTCTAGTTTTGATTCTAATCTGAAAAAAGTTTCAAGAAAAAACTTTTTTTTTTGGAATTTTTTCTGAAGAATTTGAAAATTTCCAATTCCAGGGATGCGCCAAAGGGTCCATGCTAGCCAAGGACGTCAGGGACCACTGTGAATTTGCCGAGGATTCAGATGAACCATTCACGTGCTTCTGTAACGGAAAAGACCTCTGTAATTCGAGAAAAACCATTCGAAAAGTGGAGAGAGAAGATGTGGAATTAGTAAGGATCTTTGAAAATGCGCTCCAATAAGAATTAGGCGCAATTTTAAGCCTAAAAACGTTTTTAAAACCAACTTTTGAGCCCAAAAACCATTTTAAATTCCGACAATAGAGGGTTTTAAAGAAAAATAAATTATAGAGGTCTTATTAGAACGTTCAACTTTTTGAAGTTTCAGCAAAAATTGAAAATCCTGAAAAAGCGCTTTAAACTTTTTCGATTTTTCTGGAAATTACAGAATATACTAAGCAAACCTAGAGCTTCATTTTTGTAGTTAACAAGTTTTTCTGAAAATTAGGTCCTGAGGAGATATGCCACGTGGAAGAGCGCGCTCTGTTTGGCGCCTGCTCTCTAGGGTGGGCGCGCCTCAAGGTATGCCCTATTCCACGTGGCGTATCTCCTCAGGATCGGATTTTTCAAAAAAGTTGTCAACTACAAAAATGAAGCTCTAGTTTTGTTTAGTATAATCTGAAAATTTCAAACAAATTGAATAATTTTGAGCTAAATTTTTAGATGCTTAAAGTTTTCCGGTTTTTTGACAGAATATGAATTTTCGTAGTTTTTGAAAATTCTAAATTCCAATCTCTATGAATTTTATAGTTAGACACATTATATATCAAATTGAAGATTATTGAAATACCTTTTTTTTACAATTTGAATTTCAAAAGAATGTTGAATTTCAAAAAAGTTATAATTGTTCAAAGCAAAAAAGTCCAGACCCTCCTAACTCGGCTGGTTACCAACCGATTTTTCTGATTTTTGGCTAGAAACGTAGGAGGCAAGTGAAATGGAAATTTAATTCATCTTTAATTTCAAAAATCTTGGTAAAATCTGTTTTCAGAAAGGTCAAAAATTGCATTAAAAATAAGAAAAAGGAAAAAAAATCAAATAAAATCACATTAGCACATTCCATGTCGCATATCTCCCCAGGACTTGATTTTCCGAAAAAGTTGTCAACTACAAAAATGAAGCTCTAGTCTTGTTTAGTATCTTCTAAAATTTTCAGACCATTAGCTAGATTTTGACGAATTTCGCAAAACTTGTTCCGGAAAGGTTTAATCAAATAGGAGCCACCTCAACTTTGAGCTCATATATCTCAGTTCCTGGGAAAGATATCAAAAATGTATCAACTGATAAAATATTTCTGATATTATGATAAACATTTTATTAGTTAAAACTTTTAAAATATCTTTTACAGGAATCGAGATAATCGAGCTCAAAGTTAATTGCTTGGCAAGGGCCTCTATTAGAGGAAATACGGTAATATTAGTTCATCTCAAATTTCAAATGACTATAACTTTTGAAATTTTTGACCAATTTTTGGGAAATTTATGCCAAGTTGTAGGAATTTTCCAGTACTTTTTAAAAATATATTTGTTATTCATTTTAATAAAAAACTAAGAAAGTTACAGCTTCTCCAATAGATGACCAAAACGGTGGATGTTATGAATTTATTTCGAAAAACTTATTTATCTGGGTTTCTGCGAAAGATATCAAAAAGTTGTTAACTGATAAATTGTTTATCATAATATCACCTACATTTTATCAGTCGACTACTTTTTGATATCTAGAATAGAAATCGAGATAATTGAGCTCAAAGTTAATTGTTGGTATACTTGACCTAGTTTTTCAAATTAGCAATGCCAGAAAATGATCCCTAGAGCCTACATCCTAAAAAATAACAAATTTGCAGGTGCAGTCTAGAATCTCTCCAGGGACAACGAATCCTTTAATGAGTAGGTGACGTATGGAGTAAAAGAAAAAAGAAAACTTTCTCATAAAAAATGTGTATAGCTCTTTCTCTTGGAGGAAAAGAGAAGAGGCAAAAAGCAATGGGGCGACGTCGTCAGAAGAAGAAGGCGTCCTCCTATGCACACATACATCGATTCTAAAGGGAGTAGAAGGAGGAGGAGGAGAAGGAGCCGCGCGGGGCAAAAAAGTGTGCTCCGTGGAGCCCAAGAGAGAAGAGAGCGAGAGAGAGAGAG